AAAAACAAAACCCAAAATCCAGACAACAAAATACCTATCTCTGGGAGTTGTAAGGATCTGTGAAAGAAAATTGTTAAATCAGATACTTTGGAATCAAACAGGCATAGGATGGTGACTTGCTCTGCCCTTCACTTGCTGTATGATCTTTGGCCCTCTCCAAGTATGTTTTCTCTTCTGTAATAAGGAGATCAGCGTAATATCTACCCCCAGAGTTGCTGTGAGTATAAAGGGAGATAGCACGAGTGAGGCCTTGGCATGGTGCCGGCCTTGTTCCCATGCAGGTGCAGTGACGAATGCCACCACCCACGGGTCTCTACCAACAGTACAGCTGAGCTGTACCCCCTCTGCCTCTGCTAGCGCCCACGGTCAGCCCTGGGTGTCGGTATAATTAGCTCCATCTCGGTGGTGAGCAGCCGCGGCTGCTCACAGCCTCTCTGACACGACTGTCACCTCCCACTCAGTCATCTCCACTGTTGAGTGTGCTTTACTTGCCCGCTGGGCACGGGACTGAGTGCCACCGGAGGACAAGCTTAGCCCTCAAAACCTTTGATTTGTTAAAAGGAATCAAAGCCTTTTCCTTCACTCTCGGCTGTGCCAAAAGAAAAGTTTGGGGGGGGGGGGAGGGACTGCTGCCTCCTGCATTTGCTGAGAATTCCGTTGTTCCTGATCCCATAGTGAGGCAAAAAGCATCTGTTTCTTTAAGAGGCCTCCTCTAGGGGGCGGGGACCGCCGGTGTTTCCCCGGTAAACTGGGCCCGCCCTTGTCTGAGTGACAAGAAAGCAACCCAATTGAAGAAATAGAATTCAACGTGACGGCGAAACGAAGCAATAGAAGCCCGAGTCGGTCTGCGCGGGGCGGGGTCCAGGGAAGGCGGGGCGAGCGGAGGCTGGAGGAGCCCGGGCGGTGAGACCCGGGCGCCGGAGCGGGGCCTAGGTCCGCGACCTGGTGAGTGTGGCGCGCGGTGGGGTTGGGGCGTGGCGGGCCGCTGAGAAGGGCTTGGACCCAAGGACGCAGCAAGGAGAGGCCGGGACGGGAAGGGGGCCAGAGGCTGCAGCGTGCTTCTGCCCTGGGGGCTGAGCGGTCGGAGAGGGCGGGCCTGGGCTCCAATGCGCGGGTTCGGCAGGCCCCCGAGTGTTCGCGGTCCAGCGGGGCACCGGGTCCCCGGCCAGGAAGAGGGGTCAGGTGGGGAAGAGGGCGAACCAGGCCTGGCCGGGCAGGGGTCTGAGGGAGGGGGAGGGTGAGAGGATGGAGCCCGGGGATGCGATGAAAAGATGGGGGAGGGAGGAGATGGGAGAGGGGCAGGATGGGAGGCAGCTCGATAGGAGCCTGGAGAGTGTTTGGAGCTGGGTGGCACACGTCCGAAACCCAGCAGCCTTTCTGGACATCGCCACTCCACACACACAGACCGGCTCATCACCCCGCCGCGTCAATCCGGCCCGTTCAGTAGCCTGCAGTCCATCTACTTTCCATCCCCGCCTCTTTCCCCTCCGTTCAGGCCTCTTTCGCCTCTTGTCTGGACTGTTCCAGTGTCCTGACTGATCTGCCCCCATGCACTCGGGCGCCGCTCCTGTGGGCCTCCCACCGTGGCCAGAGGAATCCAAAAATGCAGATCAGATCCGGACACTCCACCGCTTCAAACTGGCGGGCTTCCCACCTCTTGCAAGATCAGCCCCACATCCTCACCCAAGCCCTGGAGATCTGGCCCCACCGACCTCTCCCTCCTCCCAGTCTACTCATCCCTCTCGCTCAATACTCTCCCCACACGACAAACCAAACTCTGGCCCTCCTCGGGGTCTTGACACTTAGAGCTCCTTCTCCCTGAGCTTCTCTTCCTGCCTGCCTTAGTCCAGCAAACGCTTCATCCTTCAAATCTCCACTAAGGTATCACTTCCTCCAGAGGCAGCCATGGTCCCTGACTCCCCCGCCGAGTAAATTCCTCACTTTCATCACCCTGTGTACTTCTCCTTTACAACCCCTGCACAGCTGCAGTTGTACATTTACTTAGGAAGGTATTAATGTCTGTCTATCCCACCAGATGATAAGGTCCACAAGGAAGAAGATAGCGTCTGCTTTTGCTCCTTGTATCTCCAGCATCTTGCACAGGGCCAGGCACTGTAAATACTTATTTTTAAAAAATGATTGGAGGACTCGGCTTTGGCAGGAGGAAGGGGGTATGAGTTGTGGCCCCTGATGTCCCACCAATGGGGGAAGGAAGCCAACGCTGGCACAGTGCCAGGCTCTGTGTTGGAACAGTTCTGTCCAACAGAAATAAAATGCAATCTGTGTAATTTTAAATATGTGTACTTTTAAATGTTTTGGTAGCCACATGAAAAAAGTAAAACAGGCGAAATTAATTTTTGTAATGTATTTTACTTAACCTCTTATATTGCAAAATATTATTTTGACGGGAGCAATATAAAAACATTACCAATGAGATATTTCACATTGGTGTGTGTGGACTAATTCTTTGAAATCTGGTGTGCGTTGTACACCTATAGCCCATCTCAATTCGTGGTAACCATGTTTCAAAGGCTCAATAGCCACATGTGCTATGTATGGGCTGCTGGGTTGGGCTGTGGAGTGATAGGAGCTATATATACCCATGGCATTTAATCCCCTCTAGAGTCTTGAGGTAATTATTGTTATCTGTTCTTTACTAATAATAATGAAGCTTCTAAAAGTTATGTCGCCTGCCAGCGATCATGCTATCTTAGAGTTTGTGAGTGGAGGAGGCAAGGTTAGGACCAGGACCTCCATCTGTTAACCTGGAGTCCGGGTCTTTCTATAATATACCCTATGCTGCCTCTAGGAGGTGCCAAGGAAGTATGGGGGTATGCGAAGTGGGAATTAAACTTCTCGAAAACAGTGGCACCTGTGGGTATATTGTATATTCTATCTTGTTCTGTGCCCAGATAATGTGTTTAGCTACCGTATTTGCCGGCGTATAAGATGATATTTTGGCCCTGAAAAATATGCCTCCAAGTGGGGGGTCGTCTTATACGCCAGGTACACTTCAGATAGACTGCCCATAGTGCTTGCCCCGTGCCATAGTGGCCTCCCGATGCCCGCCCACTTCATTCCACATACCGTTCAGGCATCAGCAGCGCTGCTGGGTGTATGCTCGGCTGTTATGCGATTTTGCTGTTATGCGATTTTACCACACTCGCAAAATCGCACACAGCCGACCATACACCCAGTATGATAGCGCAAAATCGCGAATCGTGATTTATGTATATGTTTGATTACATACAGCCTTGTGACAGTTTTCCTGCATGTCATAAGCATTTGAATATAAATATAAATGTTGAAATCAAATCTGATATTGTTTTACCTTTTATTTGGTGTGTGGAAGGTGTGCGGAAGAGGGGGTAGTCTTATACGGCGAGTATATAACAAACTCTGTATTTTGAGTGGAAATGTTAGGGGGTCGTCTTATACGCCCAGTCGTCTTATACGCCGGCAAATACGGTACATCGGTACTGCCTGCCTAGGTGGCTCAGGAACAAGCATATTTGATGCAGTTAAAGGAAAACCCTGAAAGGCAAGTCCTTCTGTGAGCTAGTCACCATACCTCAGCGCAGCCTGCACCAGCTCAGTCTGGCCTCAGGACCTGGGTAGAAAAAATGGACACACCCTACAGCATCTCAGAGGTGCTGGGAGGACTAGACTTGATTTGACAGTCTGGCTTTGCAGTTCATCAATTGCTTGCTGAATGAGGCCCTCACTACTGTGAGGCCAGCATTCGTCTAGGCCCTTTAGGATGCCTGTGGAGTATAGGTCACAGCCTTCATCTTCAGGATGCCTGTCATGTTCTTGGAAAGACAGGATGAGATCACAGAATAATTAGACGGTGTGCATGACACTGGTGTAATGAGGAACCAGAGTCAGTGGTGTGTGGAGGCTGCAGTGTCTGCCTGGGCCCAGCTGTGCAATGTTTTTAAAGGGTTGAATCTGAATTCCTTTAGGCAGGGTGGGTACTTTGCAGTTTGCCATGGTCCCTGTATAGCCACTGCATGGTTTCTTTACTTAGCTGCCTGGCTGCTTAAAGCATTTGAATTTGTAAACCTGTTAGACATGCTGGCTTTAGTTGAGTCACTAGAAAAGATTTGCTGAGCACCTATTATGTGGCATTGTATTAGTCACTGCTCTGGAACTGACTCTAAAACTCTACAAGGTTCTTCTGCTAGAAGAAAATTAATAATAATAATTAATAATAATAATAATAATAATAATAATACAATATCAGTAGTACTTTGCCTTCTATATTGATTTTATATCCCGATTGGTTTCACATATACCTATATGTTCTCATTTTGTCATCAATATAGTTCAGCCTGGCAGGTAGGGCTTTTTTTGTGTAAGGGAAACATGGTTTTTGCAACTTCTTCAAGTTCACACAGTTGGAGTTCTGCTTCCTCTGTGTCAGGTATTATGCTTAAGGAATTCACATATATCATCCTACTTAATGTTCACAATTTTATAGAGTTGGGTTGATTCTAATCCCCATTTTACAGATAAGGAGCTTGTTAGAGCTGGGCGCCTAATTCAGATCTGTACCACTCCAGACCACAAGCTCCTGTTTAGCTGTACTGTCTCACTAGAAGGTCAAGGTTAGAAGAGGCCTCAGAAACATCTAGTCCAACCCCCTCATGTAGATCAGGACCTGAGGTCTAGAAAGAGGCTTGTGCTCGTGGCCACGCTGGGCAGTCAGGTCCCCTGGGCTGTGGGGGAGAACTAAGCCAGAAGTGGGGGCCTAAGCCTTCTTTGTCCCTAACTGGCGGTGTGGCCTTGCCAACTCCTCTGGGTCTTGGTTCCCTTATTTATGAAATGAGAGGGCCTGGCCTGGTTTTACAACGAGAACAATGCTGTGTTGTTATGGTGGGTATTGAAGGAGTCAGGCCCACAGCCCGGGATTTCCATCAGAACCCAGGACGCTTCTCAGCTCCCCACACTCCATCTCTACCTAAGCTCCGCCTTCCTGTTGCAACCATGGCAGTCTGCTGAAGGGAAACAGTCTCTTAAAGTTCATCTCTATTTTCCCATCTCAGTTTCTGTTTCATTTCCAAAAACTTGACGCTAGCGGTCTGTAAACACTGACCCCTTCTAAACCCATCTCCTCGATTATTATAGCTAGGGATTTGCAAAGTTCTAGGCAATGGCTAATCCTCTGTCATCAGCGTTTTTTATTCTCTTTGAAAGGCAATTAGGTCTGGGGCATCCTGGAGGGTATTTTTGGTGTGGAATTCTGTGGGCACAGCTGTGTACCGGGCACTGTGCTGTGAACTTTAGTTAAGAGTAGGCAGGGGAGTAGACACTGGCTTGATGAGTCCCTGTCCTCAGATTGCTGACTGGAACTGTGGCTGTCATCCCTGGCCACCCATTAGAATCACCTGGGGGAGCTTGTCAGTGACTGGGGTGGGCACTGGTGATGCACAACCAGAGCTGATAACCACAGGTCTAGAGTCTGCTTCTCAGACGTTAAGTTGCATGTGCACCCCCCAGGTGGGGGAGGGTCCTGTTTAAAGGCAGGCGCTGATTCAGTGGGTGACTCTGCGTTCCTGCAGGCTCCCAGGCAATGCCGATGCCGCTGGTGCGCAGGCCACACTGTGAGTAGCAAGAGAAGAGACTGCCCGTAGAGCATTATCGATCAGTGGGACTGTGAAGGTATGTATGCAAGGCTGGGCGCACTGATGAGGGTACGATTGATTTTGCCTGAGATGAGAGAACTAGGAAGTCCGCGTAGAAAGCAGAGCGATGGTCCCAGCTGGGTCTTGAGGGGTGAGTAGTTTGGCAGCTGGACAAGGTGGAGGGAGTAACAAACGGCCCAAGTAAAAGTACAGACTTAGAGGAGCTTGTGATATTTGAGGGAACAAACCTGACCTGACGGATGTAGCATCTACACGGGAGAGTCTGAAAGCCAGTCCCACCCTGAAAGCCACACAGAACTGGAGTAAGCCTGATGCTCTGCTAAGGAGTGTAAGCTCTGTTCTGTAAGTATAGGGACGCTCTAGAAAGTTTCTAAGCAGGGTAAGAGGAGACCTAGGTAATTCTTAGGGTAGCTGTTAAGGGGAAGAAGCCCAAAGTTACCCTGTCCCCACACCCTTCCTCACCGCACTTTGGCTCTATCTTAGTGGCTTTTCAGCACGTATTTGCGTGCACCCTTCTTTCAACACATTGCAACCAAAGAGAAACCTCAGTCACCACTGGCATGACGGTCCTCAGCGTTTCGAGCAGTGCATATCAACCTGAATCTCTGCCAACCGGGTTCCCCTCCTCTGTAGCTCAGAGCCTGTTGCCCGTACAGTGGTCTGAACTAAGGGAAGTTGAGTCACTTCTCAGATGAGAAGATTTGAGGGAGAAGTCTCTGTTGAGATTATGTGCTTGATTATAAAGAGGGTGTGACTTCTAGCTGCCTTCCTGGTGTGCAGGAAACAGAAACCAAATTTACCCATGTCTCCCCCACTGAACCAACAGCAAACAGAACAGAACAAAAAGCACTGGTCAATCCTGATCCTTAAAAGGAATGGGGTGGGGGAGCTGGAAACCTTGGCATTGTTCATTCTGAATTCCTTACTAATGGGAAGGGACCATCTTTCACTTCTTGTCTGAAGATGGGCTGTCCAACTCTACCCGCTCCACCGAGCAGTCATCTGCATTCGTGACTGAGAAAGCGCCATGGTGCTGGTTTGATAAGGATACCTTCTTTGGAGACCTTGCTGTTTTTCTCTTGTTACCCCCAGCTTAGCCCTTTGAAAACGTGGGCTTTCATTCTCATGTCTTCTGGAATTATCTTCTTCAGATCAGTGTGCGCCTCTCTCCTGTGGCATTTTGAGTAGTCCAAGTCATCTTTATCTCTGTAATCCTTTCAAGGGCATGGAAGGGCGTGGGGTGGAGAGGTGTTTAATCCGGAAGGGGTATGTTACTTCTTTGCCTCCTGGGCCCGGATGTGGAATACAGCTCCCTTATCCTGACTGTTTGCTATTGAACTCCATAGTATTGCTGAGAGGGGGACAAGAGGCTATTTATAGCCCCGAGAATTTTGCAATGTTAATTGAATTGCTTCCACCCAATTTCCACTTCCTTTCTAAAATGAAAATGAAAAGAGTAAGCAAACAAGTGCTGAAGAGTGAGTTCTTCCCTGCAAAGAGATCCTTTATTCTGGGAAGACTGTCTGGCGGATATTATGGCTTCTCTTCTCCCGCCTCCTGATGTTTCTATAGGGAGAAAAGCAGAGGGATATTTCCCCCTTCCTTTTCACCAGAGTCAGGGATGCCAATGAGACATGCTCTAATGTTAAATATGAAAACACAACTCGAAACAATGGAAATACTGTGTAATTGGAAGGTGGTGGGACACAAAGGGAACACCAAGCAACGAGGACCGTTCATGCCAGGCCCATTCCATGGAGAGCCAGCCTGGTTCGTAGGTGTTGAAGAATCAGAGCTGGTGGATTTGAGCAGACATGGGTGCTTATTGAACCAGAACTGTATGCCAGGTGCTGTGCTAGGTTATGCGACGCAGGGTCGTGCCTGCCCTGGGGGAGGAGCTAGTGAAGAGGGGAGACGTGTCACTGCCTAGAGTAGGACAAGAGCCTTCCCAGCAGTGTGGACAGAATGCTGAGAGGGCACGGTGGCCCCTATCCTATTTCATTTCGCTAGGGAAAGGCGGGGAGAGCTAAGAATGGTACAAAGAGGAAGTGAGGCCTTTTGAGCGCCTTCTTTTGCTCAGCCCGCTCCAAATTCTTTGGAGTGTACTTTCTCTTCTAATAATGAGCCCTTGAGCCAGCCTCTACTGCTGGGCCCACTTCTATTTCTTTGAAGTGTACTATCTCTTCTAATAAACTGCTCCTTCACCGCTTAAAAAAAAAAAACCAAAGAACAAAGAGCAAGTGACATCTGAGCTGGGCTTTGAAGCTTGAATAGGAGCTCTTTTGACAGTCAAAGGAAAGGAGAGAATGCAGAAGAAATGAAAGAACATGGCCTGCCTTATGGCGGCGGCAAGGAGTGCAGGAAGCTCTGGCTAGACTGTGAGGGACTGAGCCCCGGTGAGGGGGCGTGGATCACATTCTATAGGTGGTGGAGTACCATTACCTGTTACAGCAGTGAGGTCTTGTTATGTGGGTCTCTGAGCTTCAGCGTGCTGTAGCGTGAGGCACGGCAAACCGGAATTCTCCCCTGAGCACCTGCTGTGGACCAGGTACAGTGCTGGCCGCTTTCACCTGGCTTTCCAACAACAGCAGGCTGCCTGGGATGGAATTCCGGCTGTGCCCCTTGCCAGCTGTGTGATGCTGAGCACGGTACTTCATTTCTCTGTGTCTCCATCTTCTTAACCTGTAAACTGGGGTAATGATATACCCCTCGGGGTTGCTGTGTGGACTGAATGAATGATTATATGGAATGCCCTCAGAACAGTGCCTTAGCGCTGTGTGTAATTGTTAGCCAGCATCGTCACAGGAAAGGAAGCCTGATGTCGCGGGAAGGGAACTGAAATCCTAAGACCCAACCTTAAGACCCAGTTCTGATGCGATGTCTTTCTTTCTTTTTGGGGGAGGGGAGGGAAGGAGGCATGTGGAAGACAAGTCTCTCAACCGTCGGAGCTTCAGTTGCCTCGCCCCGTAAAATTGGGATGATTTTCAGGGTTCTTGTGCACATCAGCTGTAGTAACGCTATATAGGAGTGAGCAGTCAGCTGTAAAGAGGCCGTCTACACGTAACTATTACATACAAGATGATTGCTATGAAGTCACCATATAACTGCCCTGTTTTCAATAAGCCAGACCTAGCTAAGTGGGTTTGGCTCTTCATTAATTCAGCCAGTGTTAATTAGGGGCCTGCTCAGTGCCATCATCTGATGGCCTGTTATGCTGCTGACTCTTCAGACCTCCATTTTTGAGTTCAAAATTTAGGGATCAGTCTTAGTCTTAGGGTTCTTAGTTGCAATAAACAGAACCACAGGCTAGTTGAATGGAAAAGAGTTTTATTGGCAGGGTACAGGGAGATTTCAGGCACCTCAAGTGTAGGAGGTACAGCCATGGAATCTGGAAAGTCATCAGGCAGTGGCTTTTTCCATCCCTTTCTGGGTCTTTGTGGTTTTTGGTTTCTAGCCTCCACTCGCCTACACATTTCTGGATTCTTCCTTCAGAGCAGCTTCCCCTGCAAGGCTCTTGGCTTTTGCTTCTCCGTATCTCTGGCTTATGAGTGGCTTTGGCTTGCCGTTACCTGCTCTGAAGTTGACAATGACCTTTCTGCTCCAGGGCCCATTGCCAGCCAACTCCCTTAGCCTGTGTCTTTAAGTTCAAGAGAAAGACTTGGACTAGTCCAGCTAAGGTTGAGTGTTCACCGCGGTGCCGTCAGCTGGGGGAAGTGTCATTCAGGTCACGTGGGCTGCCTGGGCTTTGTGGGAAAGGGCAGAGATGATGAGAATGGGGCGTATAGTGTCTCTTGAATAGTCCTGTGGTTGCAAATTCTCAAGCTTGAAAATGGATATGAATTCTTGGAACAGCCAGGAACCACTCCGGACTAACTTTAATAAAGAAAGAGGCAGTCAACCTAGGAAATGCCCTATGGGGTCAAAGTAAAGTGGAACTGTAAACTAATGAGCTTTAGCTCTTTTATCTCCAAAGGCAGTATCCAGAAAGGAGTTCCAAAAAATATAATTTGTTTCTTAGCACCATGGAAATAAGGGCTTAGCTCCTTTCAGTGAGGACTTTGAAATGGGCGGTCCTCATTTGGATTTTTAAGTTCTACTTTAGAATATGGACTTTCAGACTTCGAAGGCACTGTACACACACTTCAGTCCAACACTCACATCTCACGGTGGAAGAAAACTGAGACTTGGGCAAAAGGGACATGTACACCTCACCCAGACACTTAGTAATGGGGCTGTGACGAGGTCCCAAGCCCTTTGGCTCTAAATTCAGTTGCTTCTTCATCCCAGCCTGGTGCTCTTTCTATTGTACCAACCCTGCCTAGTTATTTTAAAAATAAGAAGAACTGAAGTAAATAACAAATGGTCTAAGCAGCCATACTGTTCAGTTCCATGTGTATAAAGTACAAAAACAGGTAAAAGTAGCGTGTAGTGATAGAAGTCAGAAAGAAGTTGCCTCTTGGAGAGCTGGATGGTAGGGGATTGAATGGAAGGAGGTAGGAGGGAATTTTCTGGGGTAATGAACATGTTTCAAGGTTTATTTTGGGTGGTGGTTACAGGTAGGGATGTGTGTGTGTGTTTCTATTTTATATTTATAGATACACATACGTATATATGTACGTATATACATACATGAGCTCTGTGCATTTTATGTATGTAAATATCCCAATTTTTTAAAATGATCTCACAGCTGACAGTGGTACCCCTAGTTATAGCAGATTTACCTACAAGGATAAGGACGCCTGCCCTAGGCCCCCAGAGATTCATGGTACCGCCATTGCCTTACTGTGTCACTGGAGCAGAGCGTTTCAACCAGGATTTATTCTCGTGGGGCCAGTTTCTATGCAGAGGCTTGTTGTGTGTCTAGGCCCGTGAAAAATTCTGCTCAGACCCACAGAGCTTGTGGAGGCTTTCGGGGCCATCAGACTGGCCCACTTCAATCCCTTTAGGCTTGATTTAGTTGCAATGAACAGAAATTCAGGCTAGCTCGTGGGGGAGGGGAAGAGCGTTGGCCAAAGTCAGCTCCAAGTTCTGTCCCCTTTACTCATCCCCTTTACTCATTAACTGGGTGAGCTTGGGCAACTTAACTGAACTCCGACTTTGATTTTGTCGTCTTCAAATGGAGGGAATAATCCTATTCTGCCTACATCGTAAGGCATCTAGGGGACTCCACAGAATAAGGGAAAGCACTCTGAAAGCCATCTTTTTCACACTGTCATGTTTGGGCAATGCTGGTCTTTTTGGATGGTCGCCTTCTGAAGCGGTCCACCCTGATCAGGAAATGGTCGTGAAAGCTTCCCTCTTTCTGAGACCTGCGGTTGGTAGGGGAAGGGACTCTTACCCCTCTTGCCCCTATTTACAAGACTGTGAGAAGTGACATTTGTGTTTGGGCTGAAAAGTTGATAGCGTACAGAAACTGCAGCTGAGCAACGGCCATGCTGCATGTGCCACGTGAGGCAGGCGGTCTCCCTTAGTGAAGCGTGAACTGTGGGCGAGGGGCTAAACCTGGAGGGTGCAGGAGGAAGGCCTTTTTCATTAAGAGAGACACCTCTCCTGAACCCTGGAGGCAAGGAGTGTAAATATACATGAACTAATCCATCAGTCCGGCGACTTCCCTTCATCAGACCTTGGAGAGAATGCTTTAGCTATTGCTTGGAATACCACTAAGCTAGCAGAGTTGCCTAGGATACTGGTCACATGGGCCCATCTTCCAGACTGGTTCAAAATGATTTATTTTCCTTTATTTTGGCGAGAAGTGGGGGAGGGGGTCGGAGGTACCTCCGAAGGCTTGTCCTCCCATAGAGGGGCCTTTGTCTGAGGGTCCCCTTACCTCCCTCCACGGGAGCTCTCAGCAGCTCTTGCCCTTGGCAGTAGGGACTAAAATAGCATTTCCTGTCCCAGTTCCCTTCCCCATTTTCTGAACTCTGCATCATCCCACACACAGGAGGCTCCACACTGTGTCCTTTGAGGGGAAGGAGTGGCAGCAGTCACTAGGGAGGAGGCGAGAGAGCATGTGGCCGGGCCCTGCAGACACGGGAAGCTTCATCGAGTGACTGCGGAGCAGAAGGAGGCTGGTTCCTTCAGCCAGTTGCTCAACCAAGAAAAGGCTGTGTCTCTTCTTATCTGTCTCAGAGCACATGCGTCTCTTTCAAGGCCCCAAGGACATGAATCTGCACTAACTACGATCTTCTACCACAGAGCCCTCCTGACCCCGAACTGAAGTGTCGCATTGTCAGATCTGGCTGACCCACAATTAATAGATAGTTTTGTCTCGTTTCTACTTGCTGATTTAATCTAAACAGACAAAGAGCCCAAGGAGAGATTGTGGTGTGATCTAGAAAGCTTCAAACCAAGTAGTTTTGTAAGTTCCTTTGGACACCATTCTGAGTGGCCAGAATATCTAACAAGAGGGAAAAGTGAAGGCGAACTTGGTGACTTTTTTCCTTTTTTCTGATTCTCTCTTCCCAGGCGGCTGTGTCTGTGCGTCTGTCTTGGAGAAGTAGGGCCCACTGGGAACAATGCCACCACCATCAGACATTGTCAAAGTGGCCATTGAGTGGCCAGGTGCTAATGCTCAGCTCCTTGAAATCGACCAGGTAAGCCCCTGAAATGGGAAACAGTGGTGCAAGTAGAGGGGGCTGAGAAGTGGCACGGCAGAGGCCACCGTCAGGGATAGGGGCCATTGGCATCAGGAGTAGGAACTCACGACAGGACAGCTGAGGCCTGTCCCACTCCATGGAAGGTCCGTCCCCAAGGCTTGGGACAGGCTGGCTCTTGGACAAAAGCTGTCAGAGAGGGAGCCCACGCCGAGGTCATGGGTCGATCCTGCTTGGCAGCCCCCCTCGTCAGAACCTTGGCACAACGAGGATGTGGTCAAAGGATCTTTCTTTTTCTTTCAGAAACGGCCCCTGGCATCCATCATCAAGGAAGTGTGCGATGGGTACGTTGAAGCCGCCCTCGTTTTGGATGACGGCAAGCTAAAGACTAAAGGGGCACTGCCAGACCTTGAAAGGACTGCGGCTGAGGGACCTCCCATTAGTCAGGTCCCCAGAATGGGGCTTTTGTGTACCGCTGTGTTACGAAGGCAGTGTGGCTGATGAGGCTGTCCCTCCGACCTCCTGTCAGTCTTCAGCTTTTCCTTTAAGGCCGGGAGTGCCCGCCCTGAGGTCCTGGTGGGATCTGAATTATCCGGTGGCCCACGCTGAGCTGCATGGACTGCCTTTTGTGGTGCCAGTCTTACGAAAGGCTGAGGCAGTTATGTTTTCAACATCTCAACCTAAAGCTTTGGTTTGTTTTTCCCCTGTCCTAAACAGGCCACCCGATGCCTTGAGCAACTCTACTAAAAATTATTTATTTGCAGCTTCAAGACAGGTCCAGAGGAATGGCCAGACGGACTATACTGTTTTTCTTTTCCATAGGTGGTCTTTGCCAAACCCCGAGTATTACACCCTGCGTTATGCAGACGGGCCCCAGCTCTACATCACCGAGCAGGTCAGTACCGGGAGAAGCCCATCAGCACAGGCCTCTCTGTGAAGTGACCCACGCGAGGAGACCACGTTGCTTACATCACTTCTATCCGTCAGCTTCCGCTATGGGGAAAGAGGTGCTTCTTGGGCAGATGAGGGAATGCTGGCCCTTGCTCCCCTCTAGGGGCTGGACTGCCGTGACTTTTACTTCCTAAGAACCCAGGGCGCTAGAAGAAGCTCTCAGAAGGTCTTTGCCGAGAAACAAGCAGGAAAAGGCCTGACTGAAGAGTCTCAGTTACAACGCCTTTAAAAATGACAAAAAGTTGCTGTTGGTTCAACTCACTTGCACAATTTGAATATTTTATCTTATTCTTTCTTCTCTTTGCTCCCCAGACTCGCAGTGACATTAAGAATGGAACAATCTTGCAGCTGGCCGTCTCCCCGGTAGGTCCCTTGCTCTCCTTAGGAATTAATTTATTTAAACAAACATACATGAGCATCTACCATGGGCCAGACTCTATTCTAGAAGCTAAGACTGTGGAGGTTGAAACGTGATGTCTTCGTTCTCACAGCCTGGTTGGGAGTAAACAAACAAATACAGTAGAAGGCCCCTCCCAAGGGTCTCGACAGAAAGTTGCTTAGGAAGCTGATGGAACTCAGAAAACGGACCACCTAACCCAGCCCGAGGAGTCCCAGGAAGGCTTCCCAGCGAAGGGAACACGCAGCGCACACGTTGAAGGATAAGCAAGAATTAGCTATAGGAAGAAGAAAGTGTTGCAAGATGTGCTTTGTCTGGGGAAGGTGGGGTGCTGGATGGCTCAGGCCCTGGAGCAGCCAGTACAAGGCAGACACCGAAGGTGCCTGCATGTGGGTTTGGGTTTTATCTAGAAGGGAACGTGGAGACACTGAAAGATTTTAAAGCAGGAAGGTACGTTATGTTTAGATTTATATTTTAGAAAGGTCACTTTAGTGACGGTGGTGGAAGACAGGCTAAAAAATGGAAGGTTGGTGGCAGGAGGGATCTTTATGAAACTGATGAGGAATGTTAGCAGCCCATCAAGGCAAATGGCAATGGGCACGAAAGGGTGGCCATGAAGAACGTTTAGAGGTAAACTGGATGAATGTGGGGATATACCAGATGTGGACGGAAAGGGGAAAATCCAGGATGGCCCCTGATTTCTGCAAGAGCAGCCCTTTAAGGTAACTATGGAAGCAACCAGAAGGGAGCATGAAATGGCTTAGGAGCTGAGGGCAGGCAGGGAGAGTGTCAGGATGGAGGACGGCGCGGTCTGCAAGCGCAGAGAGGTAAGGCTGTCTGTTAACCCAGGTCACGGGAATTCCCTGAAAACCATTTCGTTGGGGTGATTGGGTGACAGATAGACTGCTGTGAGTTGAGTAAAAACAGGTTGAAGGAGGGAGAACCTCAAGTTGACCACATTAGCAAGAAGCTTGGTTATGAAAGGAAGTAGAGAAGGTAGCAACTTGCAAGTGTGGAATTGAAAAAGTGCTTTTTTTAAAAAGAGGCAAAACATTCATGTGTTTCAAATATCAAAAAGTTTTGACAAAGATACAGTGAAAAGTCTCCCTCCCACTCCTGTCCATCATGTACCCAGTTCCCCACCTCCTCTGATCCTTCACAGGTATTAACTTCTTTTGCAGTTTTTTACGTGTCTGTGAAATATGTTAAGATGGAAGACAGGAAGGCTGACAGTGCAGGAAAGAGGGGGTAATTCATGGGACAGGCCCTTCCTGGGTCAGGACAGGAGGAACCCACCGTGCAGCTGGAGGGATTTGCTCTGACAGCTCGGGCCAGGGGAAGAGGATCGATACCGGAGCAGCTTAGGTACATTTGCAGAGGGGCTGCCAGAAAATTAAGGGCGTAATGACACCTGTTTTCTTGAAGAGGCGAGAGACTGGTTCATCTGCGAGGAAAGAAGGCATGGAGTAATGCCAGCTAACATTTCCTGAACACCTGTATTTTGCTAAATGCTTTGCATAATAATATATACTTTAATCCTGATGAACACCCGATGAGTTGGGCACTCTTGATAGCCCCATTTTGCAGACAAGGAACTGAGACTTAGGGAGGTGAAATAACTTGCCACTTGTCACGCAGCTAAAAATGTGACAGGGCTGGCTCTCAAACGTCCCGGGTCTGCGTGAGTCTAGGCCAGTATCCTTGCCATCGTGTTCTCTTGCTTCCCTCTTCTCCTGAATGCGTCTGAAGGACTCCCTTATTCCCCACTAAACTCTGCTGATTTAATATGACAGCCTGGGAGTTATTCACTTTTCTAGAAGTGCCGAAGCATTTTACAGGCCTCTCGCACAGAGTAGTTGACTTTCCCAGAAGCACATCTCTCTGTGGAGCAGGAGGCAGCAGCCCAGAAATGCCGTCTCAGGAGCAAGATTAACATTTGGAGTGGGACGCTCCTAAGTGATACAGACCAGCGCTGTTCAAATTGTTCCCTCCTGTGACCTTTTCTCCTGGCGCACATTTTCTCCGCCGTGCAGATCGTGCAGCATTTCTGTATCACTGAGAGCAGTGTGCTGTTAAAGGGCCGCCTTTTATCACAGTAATAGAGGAGAGGCAGAGGGGAGGGAGAACAGGCCTGACGCCTTGGCTGGCAGCAGGAATGGGGTTCCAGTCACTTGCTTAGTGCTGTAAGAAAAAGTAAAGACCACAGGAATGTTTTCGGCTCGCCCGACTCTTCCATTCCAACAGAGAACATTAAACGAGCACACCAGAAACAGAGAATGATGAAACAGTAAATTGTGAGGCACTGACTCTAAAGTTAATAAGTTCAGCACAAGGAGAGTCAGCGGGCGCTAGCAGAGGGATTGTAGCTGCAGCTTGGAGAACAGGGGCAAGCGTGCTGCCAGGAAAAGTCCCAGTGCTAGCAGGAGGCTTTGTCACCAGCCATCATTTTCAAAACGCTCTTCTGAAATTAGCTGCCTCCCGCTCTTTGATCTTCTTAAAGGTTCCCTAGGACTGTCGCTTTGAGGGACAACGATGTAGACTTGGAGAGAAAGTTAAAAAAAAAACATTGTGAGGCTTTTCACATTTTCACATTGAAGGGGAGCTTCAAGGTCATCAGATTAAATTTGCCACCCAATGCAGGCATCCCTTCTATAGCATGTTTGACAGATGGTTGTCTAGGTTCTCCTTGATTGCTTCCAGTGACCGAGAACTCATTACTTCAAGAGACAATCTCTTCCACTGTCTGGTGGCTTTAATTAATAGAAATCTGTCCTCTATGGAACCAGGATCTTTTCACCTGTGACTTGCTGCAGTTAGTGCACTGTCATTTCCCCAATCTTCTGTATTCCCTTCGTGGGAATTTTTTTAATCCATAGACCCGAGTGGCACAGAAAGGATACAGATAACTGCAGAATTGGTTCCGGTAAACATTTATGTAGCGGTGGAAAAACTAGTTCTGCCTCAGGCTTGGAGGCTCACAGACAGGCCCCTCAGAGCTGTCCACAGAGCAGTAACCAGCCACGAGGAGCAGATGGCATGTGTCTTGTCCCTGGTTCCACAGTCCCGGGCCGCGCGCCAGCTGATGGAGAGGACCCAGTCATCCAACATGGAGAGCCGGCTGGATGCCATGAAGGAGCTGGCCAAGCTCTCTCCTGACGTGACCTTCGCCACCGAGTTCATCAACATGGATGGCATCATCGTGCTGATGCGGCTCGTGGAAAGTGGAACCAAGCTCTTGTCCCAGTGAGTATTGCTGAGGTCTCGTCTGGGGGCCTTTCAGGGGCTTACTACTCTCCAAAGGGCATTCTCTTCTCATTGCCGTTGAGCCAAATGAGTTTTTTGAACACGCTTTGCATGCAGAGCAGTACGCACGCCAAGCACAGAGGGATCTACGTCACTGTCGTGGTCCTAAACCTTGTCATCTAGTTGGGCTCTCATACATCCCGTGACAGCACAAAATAGTACTGTGCCAAGTGCATAGTAAAAATAGGGGCTACGGAAGTCAGGAAGATCCCTGTTAATTTATGGCAGATGATTGGCCTGATGGAGGTTAGTGAGCAGACGGTCCATTGTGGACAAGAACAGGTGTCTGTGTATTTTTAACCGCCCCCTGCCTCCCGCGCTCTCCGCACGCACACACACTGGCCTTCCACTGTGTTTACCATAGGCCACGCCCTCCCCATCTTCCGTCTCTTGGCCTCCCGTTTTCACAGGGAGCAGGAGGTCCAGAACTTTGCGATACGCCACCAGCGTCTTTCCGCTGCTCCAGTGTTAAGATGAAGGTGGTGGGAAACGGCCTTGTTGCGATCAGCAGTGGAGAAACAGATGTTTAGTTTGCCTTCTAAGCCTTTGGAGCCTCCGCTGGCAGAGAGGGAGTCAGAAATCTTCCAGCTGATGGATCAGCTATTGTAATTTTCAGCCAAAGCCAGCAACTAATCATGGGTATTTGTCTTAAGTCTTGGAAAATCCTAAAGCCTTCTGCTGTCATCAGCAGTGACCCAAAAGTTCTGCAGTCTCCCGAGAGTACAGGATTAGAGGGGCCTTTGTTCCCTTCTCTTTAAAATGGGGTGACGACTACCTTGCAGTATTGTAATGAGGAGCATTGTTCATGAGGATGGATCTGAACATGCTTTATACCTGGGACTAGAGTTTATTAATAGAGTTTGTTCGTTGTAGACAGAGTTATACACCTACAGATGTATAAAGGATTGAATGTGTAAAGAGGAGAGACAAAGGAGAGAAGACATTTTCATCCGTATTCTCCATCAGCCCGATGCTAAGGGCTCTGCATACATGGTCGCCTTGACCTCGCCACAACCCTGAGTGGTTAATGCTGTGAGATTAACACAATTTTACAAAGGAAGACATCAAAGTTTGAAAAGATAAAAGCCGCACAGTTAGTAAATAGTTGAGCAGGACTTGAACCTGTGCCCAGAGTAGGTACCTTTTCTCCTGCCCTCTGCTGCCTCTTGGCCTAAAGGGACATAAGCTCCCTTAGGTGCCCCCCACCCAGTGTTGGGGTTTGACAGAGCTCTGATACCGTCTTTGTCCTGGGGAAATGGGCGAGTGATTCTGCTTCCCTGAGATGAGGCGATGTGGAGAAGGAATGCCTAATCACCCCGCAGCCCTTTCCTTTTCAGGGACAGATACCTGGACAGAACCCTCCACGTCTGGCTGGGTGTGCACGCGGCGCTCACTCATCAAGAAATCAGTTTTGCTGACTGATTTCTCACATGGCGCTTTTACGTTGAAATTTATCCCTACATGGTGCCTTGACGCCTGCGTTCCCGGTTCTGAATCTTTGTATTGTGTATGTGTTTTGCACATGTCTCAGCTACAGTGAGATGCTGGCATTCACCCTGACTGCCTTCTTAGAGCTCATGGACCATGGCATTGTCTCCTGGGACATGGTTTCCATCACCTTCATTAAGCAGGTGAGGCCCCCAACATTCTGCTTCCTCCCCTCCCTCAGGCTTCAGGGGAGATGAAGCCATGCGGCCACTCTGGGGAGGGTCGGCTTTCTGTCCCCGAGGCCAGACTTTTCATCCTCAAGCTCTGGCCTCCCTGTGTCTCCTGAAAGGTTTACTCTGCTGTACTCTCAGCACCTATGCTGAGAAGATGGACCTGGGCTCTCAGAGCCCTATGTGGCCAGAGCGGCACTGGATTGTCAGTGAGACTTAGGATAACGAGCCTCCTAAATAAACCAGTACCATCCCTAAGCCTTCTGACCCGGCTTCCTGAGCTCTCCCTTCCCTTTGATAAAAAAACGTTCATTTCTTTTGCCTTGTATTTACAAGTCTGCCTTTTGTTTACAGACCTGCAGGGTAGCCTGTTTGGACTGTCAGATTGAACTCCGTGGGTGGGAGTGGATACTTCTAGTGTTGCCCGCCTTTCTTCTGCAGGAAGGGGCAGTGTCAATTCAGAAAACTGAACTAAAACCGATAAGTAATATGTCCGCTGTCCTGTAATTACACCTATCATTGGCTTGGGACGTTGGGAACTTGCCGATGCTGGAGATATTGAGGCAAAAGTGAAGTGACCGTGTGTCAAGGATAATATGACGGGGACTGAGAAGAGGGGTTAGATGACGAGATGCTGAGATCCCTTCTGCCTCCAAATCTTTGCTCTTCTCCATGCATATAGGGACCCAGTGTATGTCAGGAGAAGAATACCTGGAGATAAAATGATACCCCAATATCAGTAAGATCCTCTGCTTTCTACAGTCAGCTTTTTCACACCTGAACCCTTATTTTGAAGACAGGATTAAGCCCTTAGACTTTTTTTTTTAATTAATTTATTTTATTTTATTTTTTTAAATTAGTTTCAGCTGTACAACACAGTGCAATAGTTATACTTTTTACCCCTCAAAGTGACAGCCCTCCTCCCCCAATCCGCTGCCCCATTCCCCTCCCCCCCGCCAAGATCATAAACATCTATTACAATTCCATTGACTCCACTCCCACACAAGCCCTTAGACTTTCAGGAAACATAGTTGACTGGCTACTGTAATTTGAAATTGAGTTATCCATGCCTCGGGAATTCCTGGCACGTGGGCCGGTGTAGCCATGAACCACTCTCCCCCTAGGAGGGACAGCTGTCCACATGTGGGCAGCATCAGAAACCTAAGCCATCCAGCTCCCTCGGGCCCTAAGCCTCCTAACTTGACGTGCCCGTCTCTGGCCTAAGATTGCAGGGTACGTGAGCCAGCCCATGGTGGATGTATCCGTCCTTCAGAGGTCCCTGGCCATCCTGGAGAGCATGGTCCTGAACAGCCAGAGTCTGTACCAGAAGATCGCAGAGGAGATCACTGTGGGCCAGCTCATCTCTCACCTGCAGGTGTGAGTAAGAAACCCCGCCCGCACCTCCGTCCCGGTCTGTCCCCTCCTCCCCTCTTCGTCTGCGTAAGCCTTCCCATCCTACTTCCGCTTTGTTTGTAGTCCAGGCGGCTGGTCGGCTTGGTGGTTCCTTCATCACCTTCCACACTACTCTCAGATTTCGCCCATCGTTCAGAGCCGATCTTCTTAGGCTCCTGCTTCAAATCCTCTCTGTTACTCTCCTTGCCCCTTAGGCTGAAGTGAAGTTTTCCCTAATCTTTCTGTGCCGCCATGATACCAGATAGAGTTAAATGCTTTCTCCTCTCAGGGCCAAATAGTCTCTGTGTGTACCTATGATGATTATGTTTCTATAAAATACTGTATGTTTATTATCTGCCTCCCATTTTAAATGTTGAGCTCTCTGGGACCAGGGGCCAATCATTTTTGTATCCCCTGCTTTGATTTAAGTAGAAGCTCTATTAGTATTTGTTGAAGGAGCCCTTTTAAGGCTTTTGAGACTTAGCCCCGGATCATTATTTGATGACACCCTGGGAGTGATTTTAGAAGCCATCTCGGCGTCATCGGGCTGATCACTCTTCTCACCTCCTCCTAACTTCTCTCTCCGTTGACACAGCTCCAACCAGGAAATTCAGACCTACGCCATTGCCCTGATCAATGCACTTTTTCTGAAGGCTCCTGAGGACAAGCGACAGGTCTGTGGCTGCCTTTTCAAGCTTTTCATCTGGGCTGTTCCAAGGGAAGAGGTCTCACCTCCCCACCCCTCACCCCCGCCCCACCCTTTGCTGCGCAGAGAGCAGAAGCCCGACCGTTTCCCCAGGAGTCCTTCCTGCTGTCCCTCTGTGGTCAGAGCTCGTCAGAATGGCTTTGCTAAGGGCGACCCCGGGAAGAACTACCAGGGTACCCAGCTAGGTCTTAGGCAGAGCAGTTCCTCGAAAGAGCTGGAGAGGATATATTTTTCCCTTTGTGAGCCTTGTGGTCTGAGTGTCAACTATTCAAACTTGCTGCTGTAGCCCAAAGCAGCCTCAGACAGCAGGTACTCGCACGAGTGTGGCTGGCTTCCAGTCAGACCTATTCGCACAAACAGGCGACAGGCCTGATTTGGCCTTCGTTTGCCAACCCCTGGTTAGAGAATCAAGAAGGGAGAGCAGACCCTCTGGGCATCACTGTTGAGTCCAAGAGACCAAAACAACTGAGACCCTTACTTAAGGAAGCCAGAGCGGGGGGAGTTAGCATGAAGTTCATGTAGACGGATCCCCTGATCCAGGTTCTAAACTGCCTTCTCCCCCTATTAATTAGCTGTGTGACATTATGCGAATCGCTGTACTTCCCTAAATCCCAGTTTCCTCACCTGTTCTATGGGAACAGCAGCATCTGTCCAGTTTACTTCCCGAGGCTGTCAGGAGGAAAAACCAGATGCCTATTTACAAGTGAGGACACCGGGCACTGGCCTGAGTCCAGGACCCCGAGGCTAAGTTCTCTTCCTGCCGCTGGCTAGACATGTGTTTTCACCTCAATGGGCCTGTTTCTCTTTCTGTAAAACGAAAGGGCCAGGTTAAAAGACCCCTAAGGGCCCTTCCAACACTAACCTTCTGGATTTCTCTGGTCAACGCCCAAGTGGTGTGTAAAAGACAAACTTTCTAGTTCTCGGTCAATACCCTGGACTTACGAAGTGGAAATTCACGTGGGATCATGTACGAGGCTCTTGGTGGATGCTAGTGGGAGGACCAGGAGCATCTGTGGTTCTGTCTGTCCTCGTCTTTCTTGGATGGCTTTGCTCTGTTAACCGCTTCCTTCCTAGTCCTGTTTTGAATGTAAGCCGAAAGCTCGTGCTGCCATCTGCTTCTCTCTGTGCTTTTTGCTTTCTGCCGGCAGGACAAGTACCTTAACCCGCTAGACCTGCCAGTCACTGTAAGTAGCGTCGCTGTGTGGAAGGGGTCGCGGCTCCCTTCCAGGTGGGGAGGTCAGAGCTGGGCAAGAATCCCACAGCTGATTCTCGGGGATGTTCAGGGAACCCCAAGACACAGGCAAAGGGCGCGCGTGCTATACATCTCACGTGTCAGGACACTTGGGGACGTACCACAGATCAGAGTCACATACAGGACTCAGGGGATGCCTGTCCCAGGGAACACAGCCCAATCTTTCCGTTGTTACTCGCCTTTACACGGGTCTGTAGTTCAGCCAGGGAAGATCGGATTCAGAAATAGCCTGTGACTTTCATCTAGATGATTCCACGATGCATCGCAAGGTGTGAAGGTAAATCCGTGCCCTTTCTGGCGCTTACGAAACCGTGGGAATTTGAAAAGGTTGAGTCAGTTGACAAAAGAGAATTGGGATGCTCATTCTGGGTTAGAGGGAGCTGTTGAGAGGTCGGCTGTACGAGGGCCTGGAGAAGGATGAGGGATTTCCCTCGGCACCACAGAGAAGCTGTTGGTCCAAGGCCTTTAAGTTCTAGCAGCGGGTGCCTGTCAATTACCCACTTTGTTCATTGTCCACAAGATTTAGTCTCAAGCCGTCACTACCAAAGAAGTTTCTAGGCCACCTCTCTCCTCCAGCCAGTGTGTGCTCAGGGGATGCGAAGTAAAACTTATTGTTCCTGGTGGCATCAGCCATTTGGACTATGGCTAGAAATCTAGACGTGAGAGAGAGAGGCCCTTCAGCTGTGAGGAACCTGACAATACCACGGATATTGCTCCACTGGAGAGGTGTGACAGCTCCCTTGGGCCAATTGATGTAGAATTATCTGTAAAATTAAATTAAGGCAGCAGTCTAGAAAGTGAAGTCATACTAATTAACATTATTAAGAAGTGATGGCTGACATTGGAAGGAGACAGAAGAATTATGACAAGCCGTCAGAAAAATTAAAAGCATAGTAATCTGGGACTGTTTTGTTTAGAGGAAAATAGCTTTAAATTTCAATAGCTCCTTTAGCTTATGAGAGTGTCACAACACAGAATAATAATAGTCTTTTTAAGGAAGCCAAGTCCTTGGCAGTGATTAAATTATAATCATTGTAGTCTCTTCCAAAATAAAGAAATGTATGTAATATATTTTTTTTTAATTTGCATAAGAATGGGTCAAAGTAATAGTTCTGAGAGGACCCTTGAAGCTTGGCTCCCTGGAAGAGTCACTTATGTAGGATACTTTTCTGAGCGTGCCAAATAAATAGTGTTACTGTCAACATCTGAACCAAATATAGTAAAAAAATTGACCCTATTATGAAAAATTACCCAAAAGCACCCAACACATTGTTCTCTGAACCGGTCAGAAGTGAATCAGGGACTACTTACTGTTTGAACCCTCCCCGCCCTGCTCTGCCTGTGCAGTGCTGGGGGTCTGGAGAGTGCAGGAGGCCAAGCCCTTTCCTCAGTTTGGAGTCCGTGTTTCATTAGAGTCCCTTCCAGCCTGCGTGGTGGGGGTCTGCCTGGAACAGTGTGTGTGGCTTGGGAACCATCACGCTGCTCTGTGCTCCGTGTGCATCGTCCATCGCCTGGCGTCCTTGTAACAGTGTCTCGTCCTAAAGCAATCTTCGTTCCTCTTTGAAAATGATGTGGTTCATTGTGCCAGTAATGGAAACCCTATCTGAGTTAATTTGCACTCATGAAAAAAAATGAGTATTAAATACGTTCGATGGTCCGTGGACTTTTTTTCAATTTGCCCACTTTTCGTTGGAAAGGAAAAAAAAACTGTAAAAGATAAAGCTTCAGTGCTGTGACATCACCTTCCTCTTGGGAGCTGTCACAGCTATGTGCCCGCCATCTTGCCTTATATTTGCTTTTTCTCTCAATAGGACATGGCCAATGCATTTGCACAGAAGCACCTTCGGTCCATAATCCTAAACGTAAGTTCCCTGAACAAGCTGGGTTTTGTTACCATTGTTGTTTTGTTACTGTTAATAGCAATTATTACAGTTCTGGCAATTACTATTGAGTGCAGAGAGCACTCAAAGGGAACTTAGCCAATAGGTACTACACACTTCTTAAGGTGAAAAGCTTTTATTTTTTGGAGTCCTCTGTAAGCAGAGTTTTCTCCAGGAGGCCGTCCTCGAAGGAGGTACTGTTTGTTGCCCCCTGCAACTCCCAAAATGTTTATCCAGGGGGCATGTGTTAAAATAGGCACAAAAGAGGAAAGTGATTCATTCAGCTAACAGCAGTGGTAAACCTGAGTTGTTGCGTGGGGACGAAGAAGACAGCGTGTTTGCTCTCAAAGAACCTGGTCCAGTAAGAAAGACAAGTGGTCAGAGCACCGTGTGGTCAGGCTGCAGACAGATTCTGGTCTGGGAGATTTCAGAGGCAGGGCAGCCAGTCCTGCATTGAAGGAAAGCTGCCAGGAAGCCGTTAGAGGAATGTCTTCAGGTAAGGCTGAGGATAAGGGGTTCCATGAGGCGGTGGGTGGCTGGAACCTAGAAGGAGTGTGTGATTGGGCAGTGGGTGAAACAGGGAGCAGATGTGGGGTGAGGCTGCAGAGGTAGCCAGGGCCTGATCGAGTAGGGCCTTAGCGAGAGGATTTCATTAGGAGGGTGAAATAACCAGACTGGCATTTTAGAAAGCTCGCACTCCACGATCTTGTATTTCCTGAGGGGCATGTGAGGGAGGAGGTGGAGAAGGAACTGATGGGGAGGGGACGCATCCGGAAAGAGGTCTACTTCCCCCTACCTGGGTGGTGATGTGGGTGGAAGAGCGCTGAGGTGGGAGGTGGGGGTGGCGGGAGCTGGGGAGGAGAGCCAAGTATCCGGATTAAAAGGAGGCTGTTTCATCAGTTGCCAAAAACAAGGGGACACTGGGAGACCACAGTGAAGGAAATAGCATGAGAAATTTGGAGTCAAGTGTGGAAGGCTTAATAATTCCAAATGTGAACTTTGGAGTCACCAGCCCCCACTCTGCCATTCACCAGTCTTTGATCTTGAGCAATTCACTTAACTTCTGTGGGCTTCAATTTGCTCGTCTCCATGTGAGGACTAAATGAGCTCATATATATGCAGTGCTCAGCAGGGTGCCTGGCACGTGGTGTGTGCTCACTCATATTGGCAGTTCTTTGTGAGCCAGCTACGGAGGTGATAGAATTCGAGAAGTGAGCTCCAAGCCCGCGTGAAGTCCAGCCATCAGCTGGTCCAAACACGTAGAGCCTGTCAGATTTCACCTTGCAGAACCAGCTCCTACCTGCCGGCCATTTCCCTGGTCACAGCTCCACAGCCAGCCTGGCAGGAGGGACCTGAGCAAATGCCCGAGCCCTCTGCCGGCAGGTGACGGGAGCACACTGGGTCCCACGCATTCTTGTCCATATCCCTGAGCAGCTGTCCTGGGTGCCATCCTCCGCATGTGTGGGAGGGAGGGCGCCCTTCTGGGGGAAATTTAATGAATTTCGAGGCTTATCATTCACCTGAATGAGGTTAGACGTTTCGCTCATTTCTGGACAAACCCTGTGACAAGCAAAGATTCCACCACAGAAGACAGTTCAGTATCAGGACTCGGGACTCAAACAGTCTGCTAGGAAGTGGCTAATGCATGCTCACTTAAGTCTGGAGATTTAACTGAGTCAAGCCAAAGAGCATAGGCCTCGAGGCATCTGGCAGTCAAATATGACTTCAGATAAAACCTCTGAGACTATAGCTCATCTGTCTGGAGCAGTACTGCTGCAAGCCGTTGGTGGCTAGAGTAATTCCTTCCAGCTATTATATGTCTAAGTTTGAGAAAGGGGGATTTGGGCTGGCTGAGTGGCTCAGTTGGTTAAGAGCTCGCTCAAGAGTTTGAGCTCTGAGCAACAGTGGTTCGATTCCCGGCCTGTGGTGAGCTGCCAACAGGTGGCAGGATGGCTCAGCTTAAAAAAAAAAAAAAAGAGAGAAAGGGAGATTAAAGCGAGTGAAAACCAATATCATGTTAACTTTTACCTCTCTGTAAAGTAGAGAGGTGAGGAGGAAGGAATAGGGATAGACAGGTAAGGAGCAATCGGAATGGCAGAGGGAGGGAACAGCAGAGAGAGGAAAAGGCTCAGAGTGAAGCAGAGGACAGAAGGGCAGTGGCAGAGAAAAGGCCCTGGGCAGTGAGGGGCTGGGAGGAGGGAGGAAGCTAAGTGGGGCAGAGAAGCAGAGCAGAGAACGAAAAGCGAGCGTCGGGGATGGAGAGAGGCAGACTGAGCTAAGAGGAGAGCGCTCTTGCTGAAGAGACGTAGGGAGCGAATGGGACAGAGGGAGCTAGAGAGGGCTCAGAGGGAGGGCACACGGGCATTAGCACACCCTCTCGCAAGCGGTCAGGAGGAGCCTTGTCCAGTAGAAATGTCTGCAGCTGTGGAACTGCTGTCCAGAATGGGAGCCACTAGCCATGCGTGGCAACATTAAAAAAAGGAATAGGGGAAAGTAATTTCAATAATATATTTCATTTAATCCAATATATCCAAAATACTATGATTTCAACATGTAATCAATAGAAAAAATCCTTAATGAAATGTCGTATATTTTCTTTTTTCATACAAAGGCTCTGTGGTCTGGTGTATCTTTTGTGTTTACAGTGCATCTCACTTTGGACTAGCCAGATTTCAGGTGTTCAACAGCCACCTGTGGCTGGAGGCTACCAAACTGGACTGCACCGGTCTAACAACCTCAAGCCAGAGCAGGCTCTAGAGAGAGCTGATCTAAAAGTTAAGGGGAGCTCGAAAGATACACGGATCACGAGTTAGTGGCTCTGGGGCGATGCTGTCCAGCAGAACTTTCCGTGACAATGGAAGTGTTCCACATCTGCTCTGTCATCGGGTGGTAACCACTGGCCACATGTGCCCTTTGAGCTTCACATGTGGCCAGTGCTACTGAGGATTTGAATTTTCAACTTAAACTAATTTTAACGGACTTAAATGCAAATAGCCACATAGAGCTGGTGGCTACCATATTGGACAGCTCAGCTCCGGAGACAATGCTAGACTGAGGTAGAGAACACGGAGGGCACGGAGGTGGTTCGTGTGGGATGCTGGGCAGGAGTCTCCTTTGGGGGAGAAAAGAGCAAGAGTGACAGGATTCAAGATGGTGGTGAGACAAAGTGTGGGGAGCAGGAAACACAAGAGGGATACAAGCAGGAAAGAGCAGGCTCTTGTGGGAGCGAGAACAGGACAGCTTGAGGCAAGAACGTCACGAAGCATCATCGATCAGCCTGGAGGGACAGAGGGAGATGGAGCCCACAAGAGACAAGACAGACAGCGCATGGGAGAAGAGGGGTGGGCGTCAGAGGGACAGAGGGAGCGGGGCTGAACTGAGAGGGGGAGGTGGGGCCGTGGAGAAAGAGAGTGGGGAGGGCAGAGTTAGAGGAGGGAGAGGGACATGGCGGGGACACGAGGGATGCAGGGAGGGGACATACATTGAGAGAAAGGAGAGAGGGCCAGTGCACAAGAAGTGTTGCATTCCCCCCTTCGTGTAGGTGTCTTGCTATCACTTAAAGAAAATGACCTTTTCTGAAGCCTCTCTACTTGGTGAGGCCATCCAAAGCATTTTATTTGTCTAAAGGAAGACAAAAGAACCCATACTGTCTACTTCTACAAGCGAATCTTCTCCGTGCGTGCTATCTATCATCTTGGATTGAGTAAGCCTTCTCTTTAGACCTGTGCAGTCCAATTGGGTAGCCACTAGACAGCCACATGTGGCTCTTGAATACTTGAAATGTGGCTAGTCCAAACTGAGACTAGGGATTCCGTGCCTGATCGTGACCGGTAATCACTTACCTGATTGGAGTAAGGCCCACCTGCAGATCTCCTATATTGTCATCTCCACGGGGTAGCCTCCATCCTCTTTGGTGTGGCCGGGCACAACCTCCACCCTTCAATCCACCTTCCCAGCCCAGGAGAGTGCAGGAAAAAGGATGGTGCCCTCTGGGCCCGCAGTGAATCATCTCTGCCTGAATCAAGCCGTTCATGTTCCGTCCTCTCCTAGAACATGAAGTCCCTATATGTGGGAGGAAAGCCCTGTTCCTTGCCCAGCATACTTCTTTTTTTCACCAGCATGGATGTGATGCTTCAATAAGAGAAAATCAGTTCAGCCCTTTGCCCCCTGCTTTGCGTTTTCTAGCATGTGATCCGGGGGAACCGCCCAATCAAAACCGAGATGGCCCATCAGCTGTATGTCCTACAAGTCCTGACCTTTAACCTTCTGGAAGAAAGGATGATGACCAAGATGGACCCCAATGACCAGGTAGGCGCTAAGTGGGGCAGAGCTGTCCTGGCTGAAACCGTGCGCTGTGTGATGTGGTCCATCCCACCCTCAGGCTGTGTATTGGACGCCTGCTGTGTGCCAGGAATCATGTTTGGTTGTGTCTGCAGAATGGTTTGTGCCTGCTCTGGGAAATCTAGCTGTGCGCCTCATTGTGATCTCGCACTGCTGGGTGTCCCTGTGGGCCAAGCCCCCCTCTGTCTGCTAAGGCAGCTCAGATCATCAAGGCCAGAGTTCTGCCCAGAAAAGCCTGGTGAGCTCTTCCTTTTCCTGCTTCTCTTGGTTGGCTGATCATCTGCTGACTGACTGTCTGTCCGTTCCACCTCTCAGGCTCAGAGAGACATTATATTTGAACTGAGGAGGATTGCATTTGACGCGGAGTCTGACCCGAGCAATGTCCCTGGGAGTGGGACTGAAAAACGCAAAGCCATGTACACCAAGGACTACAAAATGCTAGGATTTACAGTAAGCTTCCCAAAGCACGGACATTGGTAGGCCTTCTCCCCTGACAGGAAGTCCGAGGGCCCACCTAGACAGAGCCCTGAGAACCCCTGCTCCATAGTGGTGGCCCTGGAATAGTTGACACTAAGAAGCTGGAGTTGTCTTGCCACTTGTTTGCCTTGGCAGCGGCAGGTTCACAAGTTCATGGGCAACATTTGGCCTGTGAAACAAATCCATCTGTAAGACGGCCCAGGAGGTCAGCCAGATGGGTAGAGAGGGGACCTCTCGCCAAAGCAGTGGGTTCTCTGAAAAGCTGGAGTGGATATTTTGTGATAGGATGTAGCTTGAGGAGAGAGTGAATTCAGTTAAATATTTATTGTGCACCAACGCAGTGCCCAGCAGTATGCTAGGTGCTGGGGTCAAGATGAGTCAGCCACAGCCCAGCGGTCATGAGCTCACAGACTCGTGGTGGGGGTGGGGGTGGGGGTGGGCGTGCGAAAGAGCCAGGATAGAGGTAGGTTCACCATGCAGCAGCAAACCCTCAAGTGACACTGCACGCAGGGAGGCTACCAAGCCTCAAAGCGGGTTTTTCTCTTCCCCCAGAACCATATCAACCCAGCAATGGACTTCACCCAGACTCCTCCTGGAATGCTGGCCTTGGACAACATGCTGTACTTGGCTAAAGTCCATCAGGACACCTACATCCGGGTAAAGGCTGGGGGCCAGCTTTCTTGGTCCTGGGGCCACATCTCTGGCTTCCATCCCTCACCTGCCTCGTCCTCCCTTCCTCTTCCCCACAGATTGTCTTGGAGAACAGCAGCCGAGAAGACAAACACGAATGCCCCTTTGGCCGCAGTGCCATTGAGCTCACCAAAATGCTTTGTGAAATCCTCCAGGTTGGGGAACTACGTAAGTCTGTGCAGCTGCCTTTCCCGTCAGCCAGGCCTTGTAATCAGGAGCCTGGTGAGGCATACAGTTATAAAGTTAGGTGTCGGTGGGGCTGCTTTTAAAAAAATACCTGCGTGAGCTGTCATCCGCCGTATCCTTGTTAATAGGAACCTTGGCTATTGCTTTGTTTGAGCTGGCAATTTGAATGTGTTCAAGAGCTGTGCCACCATCCACTTACTCCCGTGTGTAAGGACTAGCTGAGTCTGTGACAGAGTAGAGCCAGACCAAAAGAAAGTGCCCCAGAGGAGAAAGCTAAGGAAGGGGGGCCCATCCCACACTCAGTCGGTCTGGTCCTCGCTCAGGTTTTGTTCTGGGCGACTTTGGTGTAGAGGATCCAAAGGTCCTGGACGTGAACCCCCAGCTCAGCCTTTCCCCGTTTCTCTTCTGCAGCAAATGAAGGGCGCAACGACTACCACCCGATGTTCTTCACCCATGACCGAGCCTTTGAAGAGCTCTTTGGAATCTGCATCCAGCTATTGAACAAGACCTGGAAGGAGATGAGGGCAACGGCGGAGGACTTCAACAAGGTCATTGTCGCAGAGCTCTGAGGCCCACAGGCTGAGACCATCACGTGATGGTCTGTGACAGCTGGCCAGCACCTGGGGAATCCCTGAGCTGGAAAACCAGCTTGTTCTGCAGCACTGGGTCACAAGTTGGTTGTCTTTGGTTGTCCTTCCTCTGTCACCTTGAGCAATTGTCTTCTCCTTGGTGCCAGGGGCCCCCCATTTGCCCAGTGGAGCCAGTACTTCCCCTCCTGTCTTCCTTAGGGGACAGGAGGATACGTGTAGCAACGATAGCTGTGGTTTACGAGCACTTACTGTGTGCAGGAACTGTCGCAGTTTTGTGAACTGGAAATGTTAGGGAGAGTTCGGAGAGCCCGTGCTGTGCGAGTCATGGGGTCAATCTCGAGGCTTCCCGAGTAACCGTCTCTGTAAAGTACCGCTAGGCCCTCCAAAACTGATCGCCTAGGAGCGAGCATTTTGAAGCTGCTCATCTTGTAAAACATTTGGAAAGTACAAGGAAGAAAAAGTATTCTGTAATTCCACCACCTGGTGACAGTAATTTTTATGTTTCCCTTTAGTCTTTTTTTTTCCCCTATAGATTTTTTTTCCTTCATTGGTGGAGCGCTGACTGGATGTGCAGTGTGATAGCCTGGTTTTTTTCTTTAACTGTTGTTGTTTGAGGGGAGGTAACACATTTTTTAACACACTGCAGCGTTCCAGGCACTGTGCCTCCCTATAGCATCTCATAATCCCTCAGGCAACATGTATCAGAAGACCCATCTTCCTTTCTTTTGCTTTAAAGAATAAATGGAGACCTAAGGATGTTAAGTGACTTGTTCCAGGAACAGATTAAGGGACAGAGTCACAGTCTGAACCCATTTCTCTCTGACCCCAGAAACCTATGCTCATTCCAGCACACCGTTGACTAATTAAAATGTGTGAGAAATGAAGCATTTGTCCGCATCAGTCGTTTGTCCTAAATAACCGTGAAAGAAGGTGTGCCTTAGGAAGTCAGTACTCTCGCTCCCCCAGCAGATACCTGTAGTTCCCGCTGTGCTCCAGACCCCGGGCAAGGGCAGAGCCGTGGCGGCCTGTCCATGTGTCAGCGCGGGGGCAAGATGACCGCCTTCTTCCTCTCCCCTTAGGTTATGCAGGTGGTCCGAGAGCAGATCACTCGTGCTCTGCCCTCCAAGCCCAGCTCTTTGGATCAGTTCAAGAGCAAACTACGTAGCCTGAGCTACTCTGAGATTCTGCGACTGCGCCAGTCTGAGAGGATGAGCCAGGATGACTTTCAGTCCCCGCCCATTGTGTAAGTGCCATCCAGGGAGCGTGGGGTGGCAGCGGCGGGGACAGCCCCAGCTCTGCCTTCCGTCAAGAGCTCCGCGGTAACCCTCTCCTCCCTCTGGTGCACGCCCACCCCAGGGAGCTGAGGGAGAAGATCCAGCCCGAGATCCTTGAGCTGATCAAGCAGCAGCGCCTGAACCGACTCTGTGAGGGCAGCAGCTTCCGAAAGATTGGGAACCGCCGGAGGCAAGGTGAGGGGGCCCTGGGGTCCAGAGCCGCCGCCCGGGCAGGGAGCCTGCCTGGGCAGACCCAGCAGGGAGCAGGCAGGGGACAAGCCATCTTTCGCCCTCTGCGTGCCCAGCCCTCTCCCAGCACTGCCTATGTGCTCACCTGCTTGGCTTCCCTGTGTTGCAGAGCGATTCTGGTATTGCCGCTTGGCGCTCAACCACAAGGTCCTGCACTACGGTGACTTGGATGACAACCCTCAAGGGGAGGTGACATTTGAATCCCTGCAGGAGAAAAGTAGGTTCATCTCTCTGTTGATGTGTCCGGGTAGCTGGACTCCATGTCAGGAGGGTTCTCGTCCTGGCTGTTTTCAAACTGATTCTCTGGTCTCAGGCCATTTATCTCTCTCGACTCCTTCGCCCACTTGACAGGCCACCTCTTCCTGGCCTACCTCACAGGGCTGTTAGGGGAATTCAGTGAGATCAGAGATGGGTTTTGTAGGCTATAAAGGGAGATACAAGACTAAGTTGAAAGACGGTGGTTAAGAGCAGGCTTCCTGGATGCAAATCCTGGCTTTGCTGCTAATTCTAACTCATTGCCAGTTCATTCTCCCCTCTGCTTGGTTTCTCCGGTCCAATGGGAATAATAGCCACACCTCTCTCATACAAGGATTGAATGGGTAGTGTATGTAAAGCACTTAGAACAGTGGCGGGCAGGTAGCAAACGAAGATGTTAGGTGCTGCCACTGCTGTTTGCTGTGATGGTGTTGTCATCGTCATTGCTGTGAAGTGGAAGTGAGGTGAGTGGCAGAGGCCCCATGCCTTGGGGAGACAACCCAAAAGCCCTGACCTGCCCCCCAGTTAGATGTGACACAGCCCCAGCAGGCCGTGGCCCTTGGGAAGTGACCGAGGAGGAGGGAACAATACAAGGCCCCGCTCCCTGGGCTAGTGCAGCCCTTTGAGGCTGGGGGCTGGGGCTTCCCAGCTGGCACCAAAGCAATGGCCCGCTTGCAACATAACGCCTCCAGAGACTAATTCCCTTCACCTATCAGTTCCTGTCGCAGACATCAAGGCCATTGTCACTGGAAAAGATTGTCCCCACATGAAAGAGAAAAGCGCTCTGAAGCAGAACAAGGTGAGTGCAAAGGCAGTGCTGAGTCTGAGTCACAGTGTCACCTGGAGAGGGCGGTCATGCTGCTAGCTCTTGCCCTCATTCTGTCTCTTCAAGTTATCCCTGAATGTTGGATTAAAAACAGTTTTGAACATACACAAAAATAGATAGAACTCCCATATGCGCGCCACCCAGCCTCAACAACCATGGCAAATTCTACCGCCTACTTGCCCCTCTCTCCCATATAACTTTGAAGAAAACTTCAAGTATTGCATCATTTCACCTGTAAATAGTTAGAATGTGTCTAGATTATAACATAACCTTTTAACAAAATCACAGTACCGTCATCACACCTAAGAAGAAATAAGAAGTTGTTATTTAATGTCAGATAGTCCATTGATGTTTCCATTTCCACTCATTGTCTTAGAAATGTCATAATTTCTCTGTATAAAAATATGTAACTATCTGTATATATGCACGTATACACATACACACGCTCATCCCCATTTTGCTTGCTAAATCAGAATCCAAATAAGGGCGAACACATTGTGACTAGTCTTTTAAGTTTCTTAATTCCTGAGTTCTCCCTCCATCTTTTTTTTTTTTCTCTCTTCGCAGTTTATTAGATGAAGAAACGAGGTTGCTTGTTGGGTAGTTTCCCAGAGTCTGAAATTTGCTGATTCTCTCCCCTTGGTGTCGTTTAACTTGTTCCTCTGTCCCAGATCTGTAAATTGGTAGAGAGATCTAGGGCTTATCCAGTTCAGTCTTGACTTTTTTTTTTTTTTTTTATAATACTGTTTTCTAGATGACACTATGTTCTATCAAGAGAGACACATAACATGTGGTGTCTCTCTTTTTGTGACATTAGCACACTGTGGATGCTCAGTGCCTCGTTCCATTAGTAAATTGAGGTTTGCACATGAGTGATATTCTAATGCAGTCAGTCCTTTTCATTTATTGGCTGACCTACTTTGCTAAAGAGGACCTTGCCGTCATCTACTATTGGTTTTCCAGTGGTACAGTTTATATAAGAAAGAAGAATAAATGCTTGATTCTTTCCTTTTATGTACCTACTTTTAAAACAAAGAGTTAGTTTCCTGGTATCATCCAACAATGGCCAATCTGTGTGTGTATTGTTTTGGTTTTTAGTATTAGTATGAACTCAAGGATTTAAGCAAATTATATTTGTTTCAATCCATTACAGTTATGTTGTTGCTCAAATTGTCCCATCTTTGGCCACAATTTATTTTTTGCTGTAGTGGTTTTTTAAACTGTGGAGACTTTCAGTTTCATAACCAAGATACATATTTAAGGTAATATACAGTCTTGGACTCTGACATTCAAAGCTCATGAGTGTTGAGGAATGACTTTTTTCCAATCTTAAAAGAACCACCACATCTTAGGCGTGACTTGGGTGGGGAGTGGGTGAGCTAAGATTGATCTCCATTGGGCCCCATCTCCAGCCATTCATGTGCATGCCCTGGGGCCCTGATGACGTCACTTCTGAATCAGCACATTTGGCTATGATGCCAAGTCACTAGGACTTTGGCCAAGATCTTGGTGTGCAGAGTCCAGGCCAGTCCGTTGCTCCAAATAACCGAAACCTTTGTCCTTCAGGAGGTGTTGGAATTGGCTTTCTCCATCCTGTATGACCCCGATGAGACCTTAAACTTCATTGCACCTAATAAGTATGAGGTGAGCAGCGTGGCACTGCCTCGGACAGCCGAGTTCTCTCTGTGACGCTTCAGCTGGAGGGGAGGAGTGGGCAGAACAGGAATGTCCCCCTGAAGGCAGGGGGCCATTGCCATAGCCGAGGATCTGTCACCTGGGGGTCCTTCCTCCTGAGCCAGTTTCTCCAGGTGACTCCTCAGCAGTAGCTGTAGGTTGTTATTAGAAAGACAGGGCCAACGAGGGATAACTTACTTGCCTGGGACTGCAAGAAGGGTCCCCTGTTCAGTTTCTGTGTGGCCACCTCCCCAGTGTACCTGACAGGTCCTCCCTGCTCCACATGTAGTGGATCCGGCCTGGGCTCTGAAGCCGGACAAGCCTGGTCCTGCTGACACGGGCTTGGGCTCATCTGCAGCGATAGAAGGTGCTAGATGTTAAATGAGTCACTGCGGTTGAGACCACACATGTCTGGCGATCTCCCAGAGCCATGGGAGGAAGCTAGGGGCGGGGCTTGTGGAGGAGGAAACACTGAGGCACAGGGCCTGAGCTGTCCGCCGAGAAGAAATGGAGAACTCAATGGAGAACTCGCAGGTGGGGGGACAGGTGGGCAGAAGCACAGAGAAGGATGGAACAGGAGGAGTTAGGGAGGGATGGGTTGAGAATTTTCTGTTATTGTCTCTTGTCATTCCCTCAGGTTCAGTTTCTCTAGTACTTAATTTATTGACTGGGGTGTTTGTTTGTTGTTGTTTCAATTTTCTTTTTTTTTTGAAACAAAATTGAGGTTCCTCAGTGGTTCCTTTTGTGTCCTGCCTTTCTTGCCTAATATGTATTTCCCCCACTCCCACCTCCACCCCCATTACTAATTTCAGGGCAATTTCAGTTCCCTAATGCCCCAGTTCTCAAGTCTTGTTTTGCTGTATTCTTTAACTGCATTTTAAAAAATCAGATTTCATGTTATCTTAGGAAGTTTCAGTGTCAGTCCCTCATAAACACCTAAAGGTCTTTTGAGAAAGTAAATGATCACCTCCCTCCTTCTCTGTGCTCTTATCCCAAATCCATTTTGCCTGTTCTGAGAAGTACCAAGAGAGAATGGTGTGAGTCCTCCTAGAAAAGGGACCTGGGCAGGACCTCCTGCTGACCAGGGGCCACCGTGTGACGTTTTGCCACTTGTTCCCCCCCCCCCCCAGTACTGCATCTGGATTGACGGCCTCAGCGCCCTTCTGGGGAAAGACATGTCCAGCGAGCTGACTAAGAGCGACCTGGACACGCTGCTGAGCATGGAGATGAAGCTGCGGCTGCTGGACCTGGAGAACATCCAGATTCCCGAGGCCCCCCCGCCAGTGCCCAAGGAGCCCAGCAGCTATGACTTTGTCTATCACTACGGCTGAGCCTGGAGCCAGAGGCCGCGGTTCCCAGGAAGGGATTGGGGGCCCAGGAGAAACATTTACAGTCTGGTGCCTTGCTTTCCACTTGTACAGAATCTGGAGTGACCGTGGTGGCCAGTAAATGCCAGCCGTTCCTCAGACCCACCGCAGACCACCCAGAGCTTCATTGGCCCCTGCCCACCGTGGGTCATGAGGGCAGGCGGCCCTGCCCTCCCCGTCACTGTGGGGCCTGGGTGCGGGCCGTGAGGAGTGAACAGCAGACAGCCTTGCCTTCCAGGCCAAGAAACTGCTTCTTGAGCTGCATTTAACAACAGCCACTCACTTTTCTTCCTGAGCCTGCTCCCCAGCTGGCTGGATCCCCATGTGGGCAAGAGCTGGCCCAGGAAAGGCCGCCTGCAGAGGACAGACGTGCTGGGCATGCGGAGGGCCTTGGAGAGGCTGCCTTGGGGTGACCCGTGCCTGTGTCTCAGATCTAAGTAGAGGCCTTGCCTGTGCTTTTGCCGTTTTAATGAGGGTTTATTTGGCCTCACAAGGGCCAACATGCTGCTGCTGCTGGGGTTTGGCTCGAACATCTCTGGTCTCTGGAGCCACCAGGCCTCTCTCGCCCACGCAGTTGTCTGGGCAGATGGAAATTTCTTTCTACAAGCTCTCAGTCTCTCATCCTGGCAAGTCAAAGACACGAGGGCTAAGTCCCACCCCCGCAGTCTCAAGGAACTCTGCAGAGAGCGCCCAGAGGAGCCTGGGCTTAGACTGTGGTGAGGTCACTAGATTCCATTCCCCTCCTCCCAACCCCCACTTAACATCTCTTCCTTTTTTGGGGAGAAATCTCCCACCTACCCTGAATGGCAGCCCCCTCCAGTTTGCTTTCCTCCGGCCTTCCAGACCTCAGGAAGTTTTCCTTCCCTTCTTCCCCATTCCAGCGCTGTGGTCCCTGCCATCGGCCATGATTTCAGGGAGCTGGCTAAGGCCACAGCTGTGCCAATGCGACGTCCCTGGTGCTGCCGCACTTGTAAACCACACGCACAGCCTCTGTCCGTGGACATAGTGAACACAGTGGCATTCAGTCTTGGTGGCCTGGCATGGTAGGTACTGCCCAATGAAGAGTGTACTATATATTTTCTTTATTATAGGCCATACTTATACAGACATGTATATATATTTATATAAGATCTACCTATCCTAGGATGGTATGTTTGAGAGAAAATAAAATTGGAGGCCAAAAAAGAAAACAGTAACGCTCCCAGTTGTGAGCCAAGATTGTAACCTGAGAGCAACCAAGAGCTTCCTGTCAGTAACCATGTTTTCAATAAATACTCTTTCATGTACAAACTGGTTCCTGCTAACAGCCCTTTCTCTGTTACTTGCTCTCTGCCCAAGGGAGCCTTCACCTTGATAAGCCTTCATGTCATTGTGTCTGGGAGACTTTGGAGAGCTCCATCTGGAGCCTTCATCTACTTCCCAAGAGTTTCTCCTCTTCTACCCTCCTGCCTCCTCCATACACACACACACACACACACACACACACACACGTTGGTAAGGGTATTCACAGATTGTCACATCAGGACAAAGTGTTTTCTGCTCAGGCCTGCCAGGTACAGCAGGGAACAGCATTCTGTACACCCCTGAGAACATCTCTGCCCTCTCCTCCCTGCCAGGGACACAGCCAGGGAACAGCTCGAATCCTCGTGCCTGACAGAGAAGACACGGTCTTCACCCTGTGTGTTGCGTGCTGAGTACCCAGCCTCCCAGCTGGTGTTTTAGGCTGTTGCTCCAAACCTCAGCCTTGAGAGCTGGGAGGCTTGAGTGAAGGCGGTGATGAAAATAGATACTTTTCTCTTGCCTCTGAGAGAAGGGGGTGAGGACAAGCTCTTTCAAATGACATAGGAAGTGCAAGCAGTACAAGCCTTGAGGATTAAATAAAGCCAAGACCATGGGCAGCAATGGGTGCCATTGTAAGTGACAGCTAAGGGCCACATGAACTAATGCCTGTGAAATGCCAGCTGGGTGGGGGGCAGCATTGGTTTACATAATGAACTGCTTACACTCTGGTCTTGAGCCTTTTTCTGTTCAGAGGGGCCAGGGAGCCCAGCTGAGTCACTTTGCAAGGATCCATGTTTGCAGCCAGTGTTAGAGCCAGAGAGCCCAGAAGGGGCTGGGTGTGGGGGGGGGGGAGAGGAAACCCCAAACTGGGCTTCAGTCTGCAACCCTAGCCTGCCCTGGCCTGCTAATGGATCTCCGTCTCTGCTGGTTCTGCCGTTTAATCCATCCTGCAAGATGAATAAGATCTAAACTCCCTAGCTGGCATTTTTGGGACCACCGCAGCCTGCCCCTTGGCTACTTTTCCAACCATAGTTTTTGGTACTCTCCTTACAAATAACTGGGCTCCAAGCCAGGCTCCATTCTCCCCCCCTTTCTTATTTCCTGTCTGGGACTCGCTCTCTCTACTCGACCTATTGAAATTGAGATCATTCTTCTACTAAAGTTTCAGGCACAGGGAAAATGTTTCACAAATGTGTATTATTTATTACCTCCCATGGCGCTCAGTCCTAAAATGTAATGCCCTGATTTAGCACTCCCCAGCTGGCTTGAGCAACCGGAAGACAAAAAGTATGAGAGACATATTTGTAATTCTTTCCAGGGTTGCCCAACACTGGACTGGAATAAGGTAAACCATTTGTTCATTAGAAATTAACAGGTGACTATTTTCTGGGTGCCCGCGGTGCGTAGGGCTCTGCAGCAGGCATCCGGGCTCCACAGCGAGGCCCTGATGGAGCGCAGGAAACACAAACACCCACAGCTCAAAAGGGTGCCCAGCGCTGGACTCCAGGGGCTCCCCAGAGACGGCGCACAGAACGGGCTCTAGGCAGACAGTGGGGTGAAGACGGACCTACGTCTCCCGCCCCGCCCCCGCGGCCGCCGGCCCCGCCCCCAGCGGCTTCTGGCGGAAATGATCCTCCAGGCGGCGCGATTCCGGTCCTCGCACTTCCGGCAAGAGGATCCCGGCCCTGAGCGCTGGCAGCTGCGGTGAGTGGGCGCGCCGCGGGCTGAACGCGCGCTCCCGGGGGCGCGGAGAGCGGGGCCTGGGCGGGGGAGCCGGGTTCCAGCTGGACTCCGCGCACCTCTGCGTGGAGCGCGCCTGGGCCTCGCCGTGGCGGGAACCGGGGCCTCCACGCGCCCCCCACGGCATCCTTCCGCGCGCGCCTCCCCGGGCATTTCCTGATACCCCGCGACAAGCTGGGCCTGGAGCCCAGGTGGAGTCACGCCCGTACACACGGCTCTGCCCGCGGAGAGGCTGCGTCCCGCGGTGGGGTGGGAGTGGGGGGCGGGCAGCAAACTCGTGGGCAAAGTAGGACACGTCAGGTGGGGGGCGGTGCCCTGAGGATGAGGGGTGAGTCCTCGAGGAGAGTTCAGCCAAGCAAAGACCTGTGGAAGAGTGTTCCAGGCAGAGGGACCAGCAAGTGCAGAGAAGGACGCAGGCGTGGTGTGTGTGACGGCCAGAGTGGTGGGTGCTGGGGGATGGGTGGGTGGGACAGTGAGGTCGCAGACGTCGGCCGAGGCCAGACGGCGGGCGGCCTTCCCCTTGGACCTCCTGGGGAGCTGGGCTTAGCCCTATGGCTGGCGGTCTGCTTTCTGTGTTAAAGCCACCTCTCCAGCTGCTTGGTGGACTCCAGGCTGCAGGGGCGGGAGCGGAAGCAGGGACACCAGCTAGGAGAACGCAGCAGTCAGGAGGGGACAGATAATGAAGACTGTGATGGTGGAGTAGGGGTGAAGAGAGTAGTTGGGTCAGCAAGTATATGGGAGGTGGAACTGACGGGACAGGATTTGAGAACGGCAGAAAGAGTGTCCAGAGATGATTGGGGGGAGCGGGGGTTGAGGCTTCAGTAACCAGGTGTACTCTGCTGGCATTTACTAGTGACTTTGGAATAGGTTGGGGGCATGAATCAAGGAATCTGTGTGGGACACCGTCAGTTTTAGGTGTCTTACGCGGAGCTACAAACAGATGTACTGGTCTGGAGCACACAGGAGAGATGAGGGTTAATGTAAGGGATTTAGAAATCACTGGCATGTGGATGGGATGGGATGAGATTACACAAGGTGAGAATTTAGATAAGAGAAGCCAGGGTCCAACGCTCCGACACCCAGTTTTTACAGGTTGGGTTGACCAGCCATCGTCAGAGACCAAGAAGGAGTCCAGAAAAGCAGAAGCACACCACCCAGAAGAGTGTGGCGTGGCACCCAGGAGGTTTCCCCCAGGAATAGGAAGCGCTGGGATGTGCAGGATGTGCAGGATGAGAGTCGAGACTTGGCCCGTGAAGGGGCAGCGAGGAGCAGGGTGCGGTGACTCCGTGCAGCAGTGGGGACAGGGAGGGAAGCGAGCTCCTACCGCGCGCCAGCATGAAGTGCTGGACCTTATGCTATTGACTCCCCTGCAGGAGACACATGATTTTTATCCTCCTTTACAGTTGGGGAAACTGAGGTCCAGAAGTCAGGTAACTTAGGGTCGTGAAGTAGTAAGGTGAGGAGCCAGGATTTGATCTCAGCTCTTTCTCCCTCCGAGCGCACACTTTGAAGCACTAAGCCGCGCTGCCTTGTTCCAGCCGGGGAGCTACAGCGATGCACCACCAGCTCTACCCCGAGGTGGCTGCTGCCCTCAGCGAGGCTGTCGCCTGAGGACAGTAAGGCAGAATCTGGAATTCCTTTCCAGGGCAAGTGAGATTTGAAAAAGGGCATTTGCTCCTTTAAGCCTGGTTTTATGATAAGATAAAATAAGGGTGGGGACCTTATCCATTGCATGTCTCTGTCCCCAGTGCTAGGGATACAGGCGTGCTAATAAGTGCATGTCTGGTAAGTGGCTAGATGATTTCCAAGAGCCCTTCTAGCTGAAGTCTGATTTTGTGTTTGGGATGAGGTGACCTTCCTGATGATAATAAGAATGAGTGTTGTTAACTTTGAGACGGTGCTCACTGTGGGCTGGGGTTGTCATGGGGACTTCCTACAGGTGGGAAACCTGGACTGGCTCTTTGAAGGAAAGGCGGATTTGAACAGTGGAAGGAGGGTGTTGCAATGTTGGAGCAGGAACAGCAGCAAAAGCAGAAGGCACAAGAGGTTGACTCACAGAAGGTTTCAGCCTGCCCTGGCTAGGAAGCTGTGGGTAAGAGCCATGGGGAGAGAGTGCTAGAAGAAAGCTTAGTGCCAGCCTGCCCTGTGGCCGCCTGTGTGATGTTAGCAGTCTTCTCAACCGGGAGCAGCCTTGCCCCCAGGTGGCATTGGGCAATGTCTGGAGACATTCTTGTTTGTCATTACTCAGGATGAGAGGGAGAGATGCTACAGGCATCTGGTGGGTCAAGACCTACAGTGCTCAGGACAGGCCTTCTCCCCACAAAGAATTAGCTGGCCCCACATGTCAATCATGCCAAGGTTGAGAAGCCCTGACCTAGAGAAAAGAGGATGGGCCTTGAGATCTGGGAGACCCCCACTCTCTAGCTGTGTTAGCAGGAGTCTGACTGCCGGAGGTGCAGGGAGCAGCAGGGAAAACCATGTAAGAGACTCATGCGTGACATGGTGCAGGCACGGGGATGCGGGCTTGGATGGTAGGGATGGAGGTCAGGCAATGTGATCTTTGGGAAGATAGAGCTGACAGGGTTTGTTGATTGAATGTGGGCTGAGGGAAAGAGGAATCAGGAATGAGAACAGGGTGTCTGGTCTGAGCAGCCAGGTGAACGGTGGTGCCACTGGCTGAGGTGGCAAGTTTGGACAGAGGAGGACAACTCCTGGGAAACAGGAGTCTGTTCTGGACAGGCTGGGTGTGAGATGCCTGACAATAGACATCCCAGCGAAGAGGACAGGGAGGCAGTTTTGACGGGGAGGTCAGAGGGATGGACATTGGGGTGATGTCAGCTTACAGAAGGCGGGTTAAGGAATGGGCCCACATCAGGTCGTGGTTCTCAACCCGGTGGATGCAGCACCCTCTTTTTAAAGACAAATATTTTGGTAACAACCCTCCCCCCCCCATCACTTTAAAATGAAACTTATGGTTTATACAAACTGCCTACGCATACATTTTTAAATTGGCAATGCCCTAACCGTAATACAAAAGAGAAATAAAAGGAAAGTAATTGATAATAAAATAAAAAGCTTCAATATGTTAGTTCCTGGGCCCCAGGATATTAAAAGCCATAGTGAAACAGTCGATGCTGTCACCACTCCGGAGAACCTCTGGGAGCGTGTTACCCACAGTGCCAACTGCTACAGCCATGTCGTGTTGGCAGCTTGAAACCCACGTGTGCCATGATGTGGTTTTTCCAAACTGGGAGCTCTTGGGACCCTTTTATC